AAACAGGTGGAGATGGAAGCAGAGGTGAATGACACTGAGGAAAACTCTGAGGCCGCAGTAACCCCATTAGAAGTGATGACTTTCTTACAACTATCGTGCTACAAAACTTTCGGCCTTATTGCAGGAGAAATGATGCTGCATTGTCCCTGTCTAGCAATGTATTATTATGGTCCCCATTATGTCTGAACAGACAAGTTAGTTGCTCTGCACCACATAAGTCATCCGGTATCATCTTCACCATTTAAAAAGAACAGTACAGCTCCCAAATCAGTGCGGAATTTTGCACATGCGATCTACAGTACGAGAGATATAAACTCTTTTATTTATGACCATTTTAATGCATGAAAATGTCACACTGCACAACAGATCAAATAAGTCCCAGTGTGAGTTGAACCTACATGGTGAAGTGGTAAACATGAGTATGTGCCCTTGGGTCTCTCTTCTCTTTTGGATTAGGTCCTTAGACACTTGCTTTAGCGAAGAGCCTGGATCAGGCCTCAAAGGACTTCTGCCTCAGGGGAATAACCCGCCCATCGGACTCATGGAAATGGTAGCGAGGTGTGTATGAATGCATGTTTTTAACTTCAGTAGTCAAACAAATCTTTCCATACATAACTTTTAAAGCAGTTTCAGTCGCAACAAAATCATAAACCGAATGACATTGTGCTGAGGACTTTAAAAGGATGCATATTTTTAGCAACGAAAGTCACAACATCTTCCCTTGAGATTCTCCCTTAATGTTCTACTTTCTCTCTCAGCGTAAATGCTCGAGAAATGTAAATTGCACTTACTTTCTAACTTGGAGCACCTACTGTTTAATGCAGCAAAGGAACTTCAACTTTAACAAAGATGCACCTGAATGCCAATGATGTTGCAGCAATGGGAAGGATTTTAAATAAATAAGACGCATACCATCAGACTAGACCAACCTGAATCTACAATGGACAGCATTGTGGATATTTTCATAGGAAATAAAAGTACTTAAAGCACGTATGATTGTACATTAGACAAACGGCACAGCTAGCAGTTGACAGGATTCTGACGGACAATTCTCCCAAACTCTGAGTTGCGCCCAACATTTCCTTGTCAACATGCTGACAGTCGTTGTCAAGCCTGTCTCTGATGTTCATCTCTCGTGGTGAATGATTGGACTCCCGGTGAGTATCTGCTCAGTCTGTTCAGCATCTGAGTGCAATACTAACGTATAAAACGCGCTGGATTGTCAAAAGGCGTTGATCTATTCTGATGCATGTCCCAGAGGGATTACAGTGCAGCTTCAGAAGTATAGACACATAGCAAGATGCAAAACGTATTGCTTTCATCTATTTTTTATGTTTTGTTCTAAATGTAATGCAACTGATGTGTCTGCTGCTTGAGGTTAGTATCGGTTTATAAAAATAGCATCAGGTCATTTAAGGCCAAATGCTCTTTTAATAACCTTTTTATACTTTTCTCTTGTTGGTTTATTTTAAGTGTTATACTTTGGTAGCAGCCATAATGTTGAAAAAAACAGAGGGAACATATTAGTTGATTTATTGAGCAACAGAAAACGAATCAATTGTTTGATAACTCAAATTAACAATAATAATAATAATAATAAAACATTGGATTTTTATAGCGCTTTTCCTAAAGCTCAAAGACGCTTTACATAAATGGCTTCAGTCAAATTTCCAAACAAAATCACAAATATTAACTGGTTGGTTATTCCAACGTACATTTCCTCTGTTTTACATCATTGTCCTCTGAATGTTGGTGGGTTTGGGATGGCTGGTCAAAAAACGATAGCTATTAGAAGACCTTACATTTGGCTCCAAGATATAGGGATGAAGATTTCAAAAGTCTAAACAATTATTTTTTACTAAGCGGTGGAAAATGTTACTGACTGTGGCATCACTAAAAATAATGTGTGTACGTTTATTATAGAATGACACAATATGCTGAGTTGAAAGCGTAAAGAGTGCCTGAGGATTTCTGCTAAGCAACCAAGCTCAATGAAAAACAAAAAACATTGGATACAAAGTAGCTTTCTCATGACGCCCATTGTGAAAAGATGGCCGTGGGAGACACAACAAAAGGAGCATTGGCACCACACACACCTTCATCCCTTTGAAGCTGTTACCTTGTAATTATCTCTCTCAACCTGGCTCAAGGGGTATTAAATACAGAGGAGGACAAACCTACATCAGAGATTTACAACAGGCCTTCTCATTATCTGAAGAAGATCATTAGAGACTCCAGAAAAGGTAAAACAGCAGGAAAACAGCTGAGATTGACAACAACACAAGCTGTGGTTTATCTTGAGGATAAAGGGTGACCGAAGTGCAAATCAAACCCTTTTCCCCAGGGAGAGGAAGTACACCTTACAGTATTACAGTCCTCTCCCTGTCTGTCCTCTTCTTAACACTGGAGCAGATGAATTGGTATTTGAAAGGTGTTGGATCAATCAGAGGGCATGTTTCAATCGGCCAATAACAAAACACCTACAAGACCAATCAAATAACTCTCTACAAGGGGCCACTTTAAATGAATGTAAACATACTGGTTTGATCAATCTAAAGCCTGCATCTTAACCTTAATCGGGTGATTCCAATAAGTATTATGTGGGTCTTGGGAAAGGCCATTTCCCCAGCAAGAGAACCAATCAGATGTGTGGTAAACAATGGTGAAACGACATGTGAGAGTCAAAGGCTCCTAACAGATGTCTTACAGCTCAAAATCTTCCCTGTTCTTTACCACACTGCCTGTTTTGGGCCATGTCCAAAAGACACGTCCGTTCAGAAGCTCGCTTACATTAGAATGATCACAGGTCTGATACGTCAACAGGAATAATGGACCAACTTAAGGATGCTGGCGTGAGTATCGATCTTGGCAGGACCAAAATCCTAAAGGATGAGTTCATGTTGCATTGTTGTCGGTGGAGTCATTCATAACATGATTTGAGCCAATTTACGTGAAAGGACACTCGTCGTCACCAACGACAACAAGTGTTCAATGACAGGGCTGACGTTTAAAAGGACAGGGATGTCATGTGACGTGTTTGAAGAGTGGGCCACTTCAACATACAGGGAAAGGTTATTCAAATGTATTGACATAGCGCTTTAATCTAAAAACTGATCTTTAATACCTAGACAGGACGAACAAAATATAAATGTATTCATTTCTAGGGGTTAACGTCCTTGTTGTTGGACTGCTAATTGGACACAGCAATCTGTCCTCTCCTCATCAGAACTGGAATAGAAAATAATGTGGGTGAGTGAACCGATCTGTCATAACTCGACCAAATTCATTAGGCAGTGTGATTTCCACCACTGTCAGAAACTCCAAATTATGCATAGGGTGGACAAGTGATGGATTTTGCAATTCCTAAAGCATTTATTGATTGCTTTACATCAAATCTAGAGTGGAGGTAGAAAGGGCATTACTTCTTTCAGTACGGGTGCGAGGATGAGGTTAAAGGGAGGTGTTGGAACGTGCTTTTCTCTCCCAGTTGCATCTGTGTTTAATGCCACTGTAAAATCATCTTGATTGATGCAAAAAATACAAAACATTCTGATATTTGCTTTTCTAGGACTTGGTTAAATTAATAAGAAGGAAATTATTAAAAGGACTTAATTTAAAAAATAAATAAATAAATGCACAAGCAGCTCCAATTTGTCCTTGTTTTCAGTATTATCGCAGTATAGCTGCATTTAAACAGCAATATCCATAATTTTGTCAACAACGCGTCATCTGTAACTTTAATACACAAAACATATTGTGTCATCATTCATTTGAATCAGCCCCAATAGGTGGATAAAGTCAAATACACATAACAACAAAGTGGGTCAATTCGAATGATGTAGGTGTCATGTCCTCCACACTGCATGCACCAAAATAACAAAAGGAAAATGTCAGTACTTGGACCACATTCAAGTGGGCAGAGTTAAATGACATTTCTGCTGCGCTTCAGTCACTCTCTGTGGGGATTCATCCACTCTCCCTTCAGCTGCCTTATGGAATGCTGACACAGCACCTTGCTCCATCTGACCAACTGCTCCACCCACTAAACGAGAATACGCAACCTGTGTGCAGTCTCTACTTGTGCCAGCACTGCTATATAATGACAGGAATATTCAAATACATGTCGGGCAAAAGACCTCTACTTTACTCAACTGATCTTTCCAATGACAATAAATGGCCTGAGTGCACTAGTGGTGGGAAACTTTGGAAGGGTATTACCATGATGAGAGATAAGAGCAATGCCAGAGGGTTGAGCATGGTAATGTTGTGACTAAAAGCAGCGGGCAGATCAACTGATGCCAAACAAAGAGCCACTGAGAGCAGGAAGGTCTTACTTCCAATCAAACACTACACAATTTCCCAGATTACTCCATCGTTGTAAACTGTTAAATCATCTGTTGTGATAAGACTTGAAACTCTCAGCATGCCATGGCACAGACAGGGTGAGTCACTCTTCAACTAAAGTGCACCATCTCTGTGCTAGATAATACTGTACACTTGTTGCCAAACATGGCCTCAATAAGCACAAAAGAACAGTAACTTTAAGGACATTGTTCTGCGCATGACTCTGCAGCTGGGAAAAGGGAGCAGTGACCACAAATGCATAAATAGGGAGATGCTGAAGTTGTCTTTAAAGTGTAGAGGACACTTTTAATTAGAAGAAGGGCAGATGTGTTAAGTTACTTATTACTCAAGTGCGCCATCATGGTATACAAGATATTTTTTAATGGTATTTTTTAGTATGTGCTATAATATATTTTATTAGATCTGTGTATATTTTCCTGTAAACACAATAAGATCATCACACTCAAGAGCATCATTGAGATGAAAGAACTTGATGGTGAGGTATATATTGAAATAATTATTGTCAGAGGGCCACTTTGTAACTCTACAATCCTTGAAACAATATGCGTTGTTGTTATACCTTTTCAATGCAAATATCAGTAAGTTTAATTTAGTAGGAATAACCTAATATGCATTTACGGTGAGTCATCTCTTACCTCGCTGTTGTGTCCTCTGAGGTTGAAGTTGACTCTCTGCGGGGTGGGCCGGTCCCGTCTGCAGTGGCTGGACGTAAACGTGACCCCGACCACTCCTCGACCGTTCCCGGTAGCGAGCCAGCCCTCCTCGTAGTAACGCTTCCTGCACACTGGCTTCTCCTTCTCGCTCTTCGGCACCCGGCCCTTCCAGGACAGGCACAGGATGTTGGAGTCGCTGCAGAGGACTGGGCCATGCTCTACGGCGGCGAACATGCTAGCAGCTGTATTCTACCCCGTGGATATTTGAAAAAAGAATACCCAGAGGGAGGTTTTCGGGTGGGGTCGGTAACGTTATGAGCGCCTCTCCTCCCCTGAGGTTACTGGTTCGGTGTTGGATGTGAGACAGCGACAACGGTGCATAATACGTGCGCTTTCTCTCGGCTATCTCGGTGATTTGCAATACTGATTAAGAGGTGACCAGTGAACACTTCCCTAAAAGTATAAATGAGGTCACAAAACTGTGGACTTTAGCGATGCTGGGTTAAAGATATCATGGGCTGCAAAAGGCACTCATTCAAGTCATTGTGATGTGTTAGATCAGTGAGCTACCTTGTTGATGATGTTTCAATGACAAGGCATAAGATGACAGTACCGGAAACTTATTTGAAATTCCACTGAATGTCAGCTAATCAAAAACAAACATCCAAAAAATATCGTTGTCTTGTAAACTCATCAGCAGGAGATGCACCCATTACCCTCCAACACCTCCCAGCGCTTCAACCAGTTGATGTTATTAACGTTTCTGTCCAATTCAGTGTGTCATTTCAGGGCTCCGTGTCCTCCTCATACGACCCCGGCCGTGTGCGAGAGGAGGAGCGGGGACTCCATCAGCTGTCAGCCCGCAGGAGAGCCGCTTCTCCCGGGAACGTCATCACGTCAGCCAATCTGCCTTTTCAACCCGCCTCGGGGATCCCATGGAGGACTGCTGGAAACTAAAAAAAAGGATGTCATTATCATACAGACAATGTCGTTATATTTTGTATTGCTGTTTTTTATTTAAATAAAGCGTACAAGTCGACGTGCAACAGTGTAATCGCTGGAAGCACTCACCTGACGCCCACAGCCGTTAATTTAAATATTAATGCGCTAGGCTAAAATTACCTCTCACTTACCGTTACTTATCAATTTAGTTAGAGGACTATTCACCGTAGCGGAAGAATATTTAACTGATTGGTGAATAATTTAGGATAATCGTGTATAATTTTAGCTTTAGCTGTTATACTCGACGAGTTACACTGATTACTGACTGCCACAATTAAACACGAAAACAATGTAATAAAAGAGGGGGAGAAAACTAAATTAGACAGTGATTTTAATAGCAATCTAACAAGATCCGACAGAGGAATGGGCGTCTAGATTCACGATGCTCATGACTGTCATCTGACAGTCAAATGAAACCCGATGGACATCTGGTGTGCCAGCCAGACTATAATCGATATTTGAATTAGGTAAATTCTCAGAGTTAGAAATAATAGCATACACACATATAAGACGAACACTGGATTATAGACAGGTGATGTGACAGAGAGACATTTTCCTCCATCAAAATATATACAGTTGCCAGTTAGGTGTAGCCTAACGTTGATGACATATCCATAGATACTATCGTTAGTAACTGACATTAAAAACAACGTTAATGGTGAAGCCCGTGAAATGATGTCAAAACAAGCCAAACACCCATCGCCGAGAGCTGCCTGCTAGCTACGGATAGCTAGATCCTGGGTGTTGGTGGATCCAAACAGAGGGATGTGTGGGCTTTCACGGATTAAAACATGTCAGCAGCGGAATTAATCTCCTCCGTTTTAATGTACCTTCTTTGTGCAGTGACGCTGATCTAGCCAGCCGAGATGCTCGTGAATGCAGCAGCCTGTGTTGTTGTCTCCTCCACAAAGAACAGCCAGACAGTGATAGCTAAGAGGCTAACCGAGCAGCTAGCTAGCTGAACCTGAACCACCATCAGCGGAGACTGGCTCTGTCCATCCGCCGCTGGCAACTCGTCGCTAACTGGCTACGGCTAGCACGTTAGCCGAGTGTTTATGCCAACGTTGTTTTCAATGTTAGCACGTAGTTGTTAATGATACAAGCATGTCAGTGTCGCAGTGGGCACCACGGAAAAGTAATGTCAGAGCTGCCGTCAACAAAGCCGGAGAACCTCAATAAGCAGTGGAGTGCTTACCTCTGTTGCTGCTGCTTCTTCCTCTGCCTGCAGCCGCTACTGTACACTGGCAGGGCCCGACAGCTGGGTCACGTGACAGGAACGTGATTAAGACCAATTAGATCATCACAGTTCTCATCAACAACTGGAGTTGTCTAATTTCTAATTAATGTCTAACATTAATGTAATCTTAAATATCAGGATGAAAGAATAATGGACATGGTTGTAAAGCTATATAAATAATTTAGGTAGCATTGATCAGTTAAAACATGTATACAAATGTGTTTAACAAGTATTATTTCTGAAGCAATGGCTTATTATCACGCATTGTTGCAAACAACGACAATAATGCTTAAAATGAAGCAATTTCCCATTTAATAAGTTGGGTAATTTCATGTAGAACATTTGTTTTAATAAGTGATTGCAAGGTGATATGTTCTAGTGTAGACAATAATGAATTTAGTTTTGGTGTATCTGATTGTTTTCATTTCCTTGCTACCTGTTTATGGTACATTATAAATGTCCATCATATTTTCTTTCAAGTTAATAGCCAAATTATTTCCAGAATTTACTTTCAATCATAAACATAATTTAAGGTTTTAATATTGAACATGATGGACTTTTTTTCTTTTGGACTTCTTTTTTGGAATGTGATATGATACATTTCAATTTATTAGTCTGCTGTGGTTTTTGGAAGTACAATATCCAAGCTAGCACATGTTTAAATCAGTATATACATTTCTCTAAACACCCTGCAATGGAATTTGTAAAACTATAAAAACGGTATTTATATGTGAACATTGTCACAGATCCCACTCCGGAACACACGAGGGCAGCACGGGGGAGAGCTAGTTTCCCTTCTTTTCCACCTTCTCCAAAAACATGGCTGCTCCCATGGCTCTCAGACGAGAATTATTTTCTCTTGGAAGGGTTCTTAGCAGAGTCTCACATTTGGTAAGAAACGAATAGATTTGTATTTTTACAACACCTACGAACAATGAACTAACGTATCTGTTTGAGAAGGAGTTATTACATCTCACAGTTTGGTCCCTGACAGCCGTTGTAGCATGGTGGGTCGGTTGTACAGTAAATGTCATTTCTACATGTTTACTAATGTAAGTGTATTTACAGGGACCGAGAGTTTTGGGTGCCTGTTCACCTCACATAAAATGCTATAAAATAAGGTAAGCTGCAATTTCACTTCTTCACTCGTTTGTTGTCTACGCAGTTTATTATTAACTGCAATACACCTGGACCTTGCATTAGAGCTGTTGTCTGCAAAGTACATCAACTAGGCATTACAAGATCCCCCTGCCCTGTTATCTGTTTTATTGCTATGTTTGCAGACAGTGACATTTATTGTACCTTTTTTCAACAACAAAAAAGTTTTAAATAAGTATTGATTTCCACCTATTTTTTTGTATTGGGAAATAGGCCATACATTAGTGCTGGACTGGAGTCTCACAATTTCATAGCAAATTATGTCTACTCTTTAAACCTTAAAAATATTATTTGTTTCCATGATAATCTAGAATAGATGATAGCGCTTTTGTATAACTGAATAATTCCCTTATATGTGCAAATGTTTTGATTCACATCACTATCAGATTTTTTAAATAACATTATTACTTGTGTTCTAGACCTGCATTATCTACTTGAATGTGGTAAGACATGTTCCATGTGAATTACTGTTTTGTTGCTGCAGGTCTCTTCTACCATTAGCACCCAGCACTTCCTTCCACACAGAAACAGTGCTTCCATCAACACCTTCACCAGTGAGTTATCAGTAAAATTCAATCATCTTAGACTGTTTTTTTAACTGCTCAAGGTTGAAATAATACAAAAAAGACAGATCATATGCATTTATTGTGTTTTCATTTGTTTCCCTGCAGATCACTGTCACAGAAGAGCCTGACGCACTGTTTCAGAGGGTGTCGGTGCTGGTCAAAGGTCATGACAGAGCCGTGTTGGACAGCTATGAGATATTTGCCACCATGGCAGCCAATGAGCTGGGCATCACCCAAAACAAAGTGTGAGTAGCCTCCTGATACCTTTTTAAGCTACTAAAATCTTTACTGAAGACCTTTTTTGATGAACTTTTGTTCTTCTGCCACAGTTACGAACCTCCCAAGGACATGGAGAGATTGACGCTCCTGAAGTCGATTCACATCTTCAAAAATCACAGAGTCCAGTATGAGATGAGGACGCACTACCGGTGCATCGAGGTGATGATCCTGAACAGGGCTAATTATGTTTGTTTTATTCAATTAGTCGATGGTTATTAAAACTTCAAAATGGTTTCAAAAGGCATTTCACTGAGGGTTGTGATGGCCAAAGCCTTAACTAGGGTTAATTATTTTTAACAATTACTGCTTCAATTTATTATTTCTGTGGACTTGTGTTTTATCTAAAGGCTCTTCTCCCTGGAGTTTGGCATGTGTCTACTCAAAAAATTGACAACACAAAGTGCCCCTGCCCCTAAAATGATGAAATTCCTGACCGGTTAGTGGTGATTTGGTTATGAATCTAAGTCCCTTCTCTTGTTTTTTAGCTGTCTCACATAACTGGCTGCACAGCACAGGTTTACCTTGAATACATCCAGAGGAACCTCCCTGAAGGTGTAGCCATGGAGGTGACAAAGGTAAGCAACTATCCCGCCTGCTCAATCTAATGCTGCATTCAAACAGCCTGAATTAATGTGTTTTTTCCCTTTGCTGTTGTTATCAGACAGCCATGGAGAAGGTTCCAGATCACATCAAAAAACCCATGTGGGAGGAACAACCCGTTGATGAAAAGCCCAGCCAGTGAAAACGTTGATCTAATTACTGGATGTTTTCTCAGAATTGAATATGTTAAGAACTGCAATATTAACGTGTAGTTTTCATGGATTCTTAAAACTGCTCAGCATAATGTTTTCAGCAATATCCTCAATATAGAGTTCAACACCAGAACTGGCATTCATTACATCAACATGTAAGTCATTATCTACTGTCAGTTGTGTTTTCATTGTTGTTCTGTTGCAAAACAGTGTGGAATTACTTAAGTTTTTTCAATAAATACATTATTTAACAGACTTATGTGCAGTTATTTAAAAGGAATTATAGTTTATAATAGAAATTCTACTTTAATATAACATTGTTTTTGTCAAATTGTAGATGATGCAGTGGTTTCTAATTCTGTATGATGAACACATTCTGTAGGACACAAGACATTTCTTTTTTTGCTTTTATTGAATTATTGGTTTACAAAGATATTTCAGGGCGACACAAATAAAAGTAAATGACAATTTAATATGTATCTTCTGCTTAACAGTAATAAATACTACATGGCTTACTTATCCTGAGATAGATGGCTATTATACTTGTAGTCTCCATACATTACCTGAAGGTGTGCGTATACTGTCTGTTCTTGTTAACATTTGACAGTACAGATATACTTACATGTAAGTTGGTAAATCCAAAATGTATTTATTGTATTCATTTATTAAAAAACGAAATACCACAACCTTTATTCAATATTCCTCACGGTCTCGCCAAGTTTGTTACTGTTGCACAGTGGTTTCAACTTCCCTCCTGAAAGACAGAATCTCCAGGCATCAGAGCAAGGGGTTTAGAGATAAAGATACAAGAGGAGACTCACCTTTTCAAGTTCTCGCCGCTGGTGACTCGGGGGGGACGGATGTGAGGGAGGGTCTGGGATCCTGTGGCCTGGGAGGTAAACTGTACTTTATGCTCCCTTCAGGAGACAACAACAGTCAGGCTGCTATCATTAACCAAAGGGAGAAACAAGAGTGGACTGCAAAGACTGGAGAGGCAGCAACATGTACGAAAAGTGCTGAAGACAAGAAAGAAAGAGCAGGAGGAAAGTGCAACACTTGTTTTGACACATTTATGAAAGAGACTGGCTTTGATGAATACCTCTTGAGGTATTCCGAGTGCTTCGGAAATAAAACACTTTCATTCAGAAAAAATGGAAAGTCCTTTGTTGCACTGGCAGTAAATGCAACATGCAGTATAAATAAGAAATGTGTCTTCATAGGATTGTGCTTCTGCTTCACAGCTGGGGTTTGTTTTATCTGTATACACTCAGAGCTAAAATAGCAGTACACTATGGAGCTACATGCGTTCACAAAATAAAACAAATGTTTAGTCGTCAACAATTCATGGTGTCTGTTTATCACTGATTCTAGAGTAAATCATTAATTTGATAATCTTCTTTCTGCTATAACCTAATATAAACATCTATAACTTCTATATTTATTAATAACATATTTAAAATGTACAGGAGTGTAGGATACATTATGCATTATAAGAGTGTTAAATGAAATAGACAAATCCGTTTGAAATCAATTTACAATTATTGTCAAGATATTATCCTAGCAGCACACAAATATTAGAGTCCATATCAGAGTGTTTATCTTTTGCAGATGATGTCCTCCTTTTAGACATGCAACCACTGAATTGGAACTGTGGCATCACTCAAGTTGAGCGGTTCTGAGTCCTCTGGTGAAATTCATAAGGTAACATAAGGTCATCTTTCAAGTTACTAAAAGGGCAATTTAAAGATGCATTTTGTAGCCTTTTAATATCTGCAATAAGCTTCAGCTGTCTGCAGGCTGAATGTTCCGTTAAAGGCTCTTGATCGTCCAATCTTATCCTAAATGTATATAATAGTGTGCATTCATGCAATGGTCTTAACATGGATAAAGTGTTCACTTTCAAATATGAAATACTATTACTGTGTACAGTTCTAGATTTGACATTGCAATTCATTATTTCCATATAATACAGATAAAGTATAATGACAACTCTCAGACTTGTTTGTGAATAAACAAAAAATAGAGAAGTTGGGTTTATTTTTATTTTTATTTGTTTTTCCACGACTACGTCATGTCTTGACGGTTTTCATTAAAACACAATCACAGGTTCACAAAAGTTAGGTAAATTACAGTTAAGAGAGTATTTATAAACACTTCAAAAACACAGTCAAGAGTAACTTGTCCTTAAATGAACGGAATTGTCTTTATAAAATCTACTAGAAATCTATTTTCAATATACTATTAATTTGTAATGTCTTTTCCGCTTTGTCATTACAAGATAGTTTGCTCTAGAGTCTAGAGCAAACTATCTTGTAATGACAAAGCTCTTAAACATTCATGTTTGTCTAGAGTCTAGACAAACATGAATGTTTAAAAAGCAATACTGGTGACTCAAAGTAGCTGCACATTAATGATATACAATATAAAATAAAATACTCATGAATACTTGACAAGTGTCTGTTCACTTAAAAATTGTGGAAGTGTTGAACAAAAGTCACACCACTGCTTAGTAAAGTTATAATACTTAACTATTTCCATGTAACAATAGCTAAGGTTTAAGAGGTCCAAGTTGTACTAAGCTAGTTTACAGTGGTGCTCGAGGGATGCTGTGCACTCTTTAATTCCTTTTCACCCAACTTTCCCCATATTCAAATATACATTGCATCCTGTTTTTTTATTCTTTATTATGGATCAGGAAAGCTTCTTAAGGCAAGAACCACAGCACATTTAAAGAACTTGAACAATATGTTTTCTTCCCTTTCAGAACAGGGGTTTCAAACTTGTTTAGCTTTTTCTTGAGAATGTCAAATACTTCCTACAGTACCAACAGTATTTCTGTAACATATAATACAATGCCTTTACATTGTAAAAGTTGTGAGGCATTTTATGTTGTCATTTTCACATAAATTATTTGCCAGTAGACAATACCATTATGCAGACATTTGGCCACAGAGTATGTCATGAAGATACTCAGAAACTTAGTGTAACACATAATCATGGGGCGTTTACTGCACCACTGTGGGACCCTTCTGCATTAACAAGTGTTTGGTTATTGTTTTTAGGGCAGGCTGTGTTAAAAGCGTCGGCCACCAGGGGGCCCTGGCCACCTCTGGCCTCTGCCAGGTGGGCGGTGAGGAGGAGGAGAGACTGGTCCATTGTGGTAGCTGTGTAAAAGGATAAAATCACACATTGGATTCTTGGCTTTGGCCAATAAGGGCACACTCTGATAAGAGCAGCCATCTGAACTAATCCAGTCAGGGGTGTGATCCCCTCTGTTACTGTGTACCTTTCAATGTCATGTATTTACAGTACTTTGTCCACTATTTAAGGCTTCAAATAGTTGCAGTGGGTGTAATTATTATTAACAAACTAAGCAAAAAATGTTGTCTGAAAAATTGTTGTAGTAAGACAGATTTGTGGGCTATTCTATTTTTTTGATAAACAAACTGAGAATTGTAATTATGAGAGAATAATGTAAACCCTAAAATGAAAGCTATAGTGAGGTATAAGAGGAAAGAGACATAAAGGACTGTACATTGTATACAACCCCTCACTGTTTAGTGCATATCACAAAATTAAGGAATATAACTAGTGGAGGCTTGTCTCAAATCTCACCGGATGTTATTTTGAGGAATCTTAAAAGTGTTCAAGGAAAGTGCAGAGAACTGAGACTTACAAAGCTTGAGCGTGGTTATAATATTAAAACAGCTCTTACCCTCTTGGGCCTCGGGGGTGAAAGTGGCGTGGAGGTCCAGGGGGGGGCATGCCGCAGCCTCGAGGGTGTGGAGGAGGCCCTCTGAAAGCAGGGTGACCTGGAGGAGGGGGGGGACGGGGTCCGTGCCTACAGACAGCAAAACAAAAAACGTTGTATGTTTTCAATCAGAAGAAACCTGATGTAAGGATACACACGAGCAAAAGTGAGTGACAACAATAGGAACCAAAGAAGATAAGATAGACTGCTCCAAAAAAATTGATGTTTGAAATGTATATAACTTACTATACGGTAGCTATAAAAACTAGACAGTTTGGTCAAAAGTTTTTAGAATCAGGAGGATCGTTCTTTAATCTCAGAGCAACTCTGTGAATGTGATTGTGCGTGAGCCGGTTACCTGTGCATGGGTGGAAAAGGGCCTCTGAGGTACATGGGAGGGGGGGGAGGAGGAGGGCCCATGCCCATTGGTCCACCCCTACCTCGATGACCTCTCATGTCTGGGTAAGGACGCATCCTCCTCATTCCTCTGAGAGGGAAGAACAGGAAATGCAACTTATCCATAACATGGCATTTTTTATACAACAAATCTCTAGGGTGATTAAGGTGATTCCCTTATATCATTTATAACCACACAACTCAAAAAGCAACTTTCTGAATGAATACCACCTAGTATATTTCAATATTTGTACCTCATGGGTGCAAATCCGTTCATGGCTCCTTCTCTCCCTCGACCTCTCCCGTATCCAGGTGGACCAAACCCTTTTATCATGCCCCGCCCCCCAGCCATGCCGCCTCGACTCATCCGACCCCCTCGACTACGGCTTCTAAACCCACGACCCCTGAGGAGATTAAAACTAATTTGAGGAAAAAATTGACACTCTGCAACAAGTGTGCAAGTGTTGTTATGATCACCGCAAATTGGGCAAAATCAGAAAGTATTCAGGTAAATGAAAGCTTCTCATAATCATGTAATGCAACAGTTCACCATTATGTATCCATAAATACAGTATGAGGCTGTGAGGAAACCCGAGACTTACCTAAATGTGTTATCCACTAAGGTTTTCTGAGGTTCATCCTTGGAAATCCTTGAAGTTTCGGTCACATTTTCTTCTGGGTTTGCGTCCATCTGAAATGATGCAAGTCAATATTTATATACAGTACACTGTCACTCTTATAAGATTATTATTTAATAAAAACGTTCTTATATAAAAACATATCCAACTCCTCCATAGACAAGAAAATGATTTCTACATTCAAAATGCAAATTCACGTTTTACACTTGTGTTACAAAGCGATAGCCATTTACTGCCTTTTGCTCTCTTGCAATGTTGTATGAGATAATTCTTGATAAGACTTCTCCCTGACAAAAAAATACTTTAAGGCATGTGTTTCTATATTGTGACACAAGGCTGTAAAACTTCACTCAGCAGATCTTGGAAATATAAAACCTCTGTATTGCATTCCCTGCATTGCTCCATCATCGAGTGTGAGACGCTGTGCATGCAGCATGCCTCACACTGAAGCAGGTGACAAGTGTTTAGGTAAAACACGGACATAGTCAAAGCTGATAGCGGGAAAAGTATTAATAGTCCCAAAGCCCAGATCGCTAAAAAATACAAAATCTGTGAGGCTAGACAGTTGGGTTAGACTTTTGAAAAATATAGGGGAAAGGTACAGTAAGAAGTGAGGTTGCTGTGAAGGGAAACTGCCTCTTCAAATATCTGGGGAATTTACATTTTAGGAGTGACTTTCAAAATATACCCTGAAGGAGAAACCGCCCCAGAAGAAAAAAAAAACAGAAAAGCTGTTACTTGTTTTTCTACCTGTGTGTTTGATACTTTGGTTGAAGATCCAGCAAATAACAAAAGCTTAATATGTGCACAATACTCCCTAAAAATACACTTATTCTAAAACAAACTCTAAAAAGGTATGAGGAGGTCACCATGAGCAAAGAAGTATTTGCAAGTTTAAAAACATTAACATTTTGGATCATTTATTATTTTTCACAAACTCTGGCTTATGCAATCTTTCAGTTTTTCATTTTTTAAGCTGTTTATGGTGTTGTTGAATTGTGGTGTACTTAAATTGTGTTCGTCCCATTTATTTCAATGAGGTCGGAAGTCCCTTGATACCCTTATATCCTCAACTATATCTATGAGGAAATCTATTTACACATATATCTATAGACACTTGTGGAGCAGTTATTCCTTCAAATGAACTGCCTTTAATTCATATAAACTTTAGAGGCTTAAACTATGTCATGCAGGCTGGCACACACACATACTCTATCACAGTGTTATTTGTAATTAAATAAGCCTGCAGTGCAGAGCTACAGGCACGTCGAGCGTCATGGAAACATTGTTATCCTGATCCTAGAGACGGTTAGAGCTGTTTCATTTTAAGCTAGGACAATCAGAGGGGCACTGTTCAACACATACACTTAAAGTCTCTAATAATGCTCCTTAATACTGTGCAGCATACAGGAGCTAATGTCGAACACATGTGGTTACATTTTAACGCAAAGGGCTTGGAGGGCCCTTTCTAATTCCTGGAATAAACAACGCAGAGACGACCTCAGCTGGCACACAGTATACTGTGTCCAAATATGTGTATTTGTTATACATAATATTCGACTAGGCATCTCAGATTTGAACAGCTATTTTCTTAGATATAAAATACAACTAAAAGCCCGAATAACAAGATTGTACCTAAACGTTATTCGTTAAATAAAAGGGGCGTTTCTGTGGTTTTCAAACGCTTTGGTGAAACACACAGAGATGGGACTTACTTCAGTTGGTGATGCAGGCGAGGTAGATTAAAAAACTAAACCAACTTCCCTAGTAGCTAGTAAAAATATATATATATTAGAAAAATAAAAACATTTACAACATTTCCTGCAGCTTCTGTTGCTCTTAGCGTTTTGAAATGGCGACTTCGTCAGGCTTTACTTCATCCCAGGTTGGATATATTTGTGAGGAACACATTATGTGGATGGTCACGCCCACTTGGAGGAATACTGGTGTCTGATTGGCTACTTGTTGCTCTCAGTCAGCTTGTTTTGGATATTTCGGCCTTCTGATTGGAGGAATTGGCTGACGTATGTTCTAATTGTACCACTCATCCTGAAGTGAATTAACTGGGCCAAGTTCAAAACAGAGGCTATTTATTGTAGTTGTACGAGTTGTATCCATTTGTGACCGAAAACTATTTTAAAAAATAAATAAATAATTTGCCAATTCACAAAACTCAAAACGTTTTCTAAATAAGTTAAACCGTTTTGCTGAAAAGTGAGTATTTCTTAAGATACTCCTACTATGTTAAGTCGTTGGTTACATGAGAACAATCAAGTATGTGGTATCTATAAACTAATAACAAGTTGATTATCAATATCAATTAAATATTTTAAATGCCAAGGTCAGGTCCTAATTACAAATGCAAGATTTTAGATCAATCAGAACCAATGTTGTGCTATTTCACATTTTTAATTAAGTCTCTTGGCACATGGGTAAGGGTAAATACCTGTCTGGGTACGCAACCGGGAAATGACACATTGTTTATCTAATGGATGTGTTTAACAGTGTATTAACAGGCCTGATATATTCTATAGTAAGGAAAATAATAGACATTTTAACTCGTCAGTGAAAAAAAAACAGGACTAGTTATTATATAGCTTTCAGACACAACTTTAATATAGGCTATTATGAAGCTACTTAAACTTTAACACAAACACCAACAACATATAACAAATATGATGAGGTTTCACTAAGTTCTCTGCTCACACGATACACAAACAAGGTGGGCCTAATAGGAGAACACCTTCATCAGTAAAAGCTACATTTCATACCAAGGGGAAAACATATACACATAGAAACAATCAGCAAACTATATTTCCAAACATTTAATTCACAACTCCAACAAAGGCAGCCTCATATACAAAGTAATGGTCAAGTGCCCAATAAACAATATTTACATCACGAGAAGGGCGAACAAGAGAGCAATTTAATGAAATCAAATGTTAAAGTTAACTTAAAAATGTTGTGTTACTCATCGAATATATAAAACTAACTCCATTAAATGTCCAGGTCAGAGTAAACCTTATGCGTAAAAAGTAAATTTGCGTCCGTTACGCGTGGCCCAGAATGTCTGAAAGCTTGTTGATGTATTCAATAGTGTATTTGAGGGTCTGTATCTTGGTCAGGGGTTGGCCTGTCTGACTGTAATCTGGCGGCAGGTAGTCTCGGAGGTGGTGCAGAGCCTCTGCAAGACTCCTCATCCGCATCTTCTCCCTCTCGCTGGCCTTCACGCGTCTCTTGGTGGACATCTTGGGCTTGCCCTGCCTCTGCGCTTTGGAAGAGGCCCTGCGCTCCGGGAAACCGTAAGGGCAGTCCTTCATCTCCTGACTGCCGCTGGAGAAGCACATCTCCGGGGAAGAGCACATGGAGTCTATGGAGGACTCCGGGGAAGTGGACTGAAGTGAGTCATGATCTTCTCCAAACGCACCCTCATGGCTCTTCCACTCAGACAGCATTTTGGCTGTGACAACATCCATGTCCATGTTAGAAATATCCTTCCCGACAGTCGTGCAGCGAGGATGACATCAGGGGTGAATGAGAGGTTCTGTGAAGGAAATTTTTCTGCAAGTTGTTTTTATATAGAAGCAGATCTCCGGAGCTTTATGGGTTCACAGCTCAGGCGAAAAAAAGTTCAAAGAAAACCCCAAGTGCCAAAATGCGACCTTCTCGAAGGTTCGTTATCACTGGGGTGTGAATAAGGCTAAATCGACGGATAATGTGATGGAAAGAAAAATAATTAGATTCCCTTGTGTGTGAAATTACTCTTTAAAGTCTTCACGACGACAATTATCAGTTTGATGTGATTTGTCTAATGAAGGATTGAGAGGATGCTGTTTCACCTGAGAGCTTCACACCTCTCCGGCAAGTCAGGCCTGCGTGTGTCTTCAGTCTGGAAGTGAAGCAGTCAAAAAAAACACAACACTATTTTGTAACTTACCAAGACAGCCTTGCAGATAATTTTTTTGGAGATACATCTTTGTTATTTGTATAAATCAAGACCCCGGATATGTAATTAGGTAGATCATTTGATATATATAATTTGTAAGTCAATAATATTTTTGTTTATCAATTTAATACAGCTTAAGTTTATAGAGTATCATAATTCTCATGTTTCATTTCATTATTATTATTTTTTGTTCGAGATCAATCCTGTTTTCTTTTTTCTCAAGAAATGTTCCCTGTGTGAGGGATTAATAAAGTCTTCTTCTTTTAATGCACATATATTTACTTGCCACCTGGAGAAGGTCAATTGTTTCAATGTCAGAAAGTGCCAATTGTTAATATCATTCACAAACAAATGACACATCTGAACAAACTTTTACTTTACTAATGAGATCTGCATTGGAACACAAGCTGAATTTCCCTGAGAAACTGTCAGGAATAACAGGATTTAAGACCAGGTACTTGCTCTGAGTTGTTATTTGGGCAGAGGATGCAGCTGTCACCAAGCTCCTGCCAGACCTTTCATGTCTGAAAAGGTGTGTAAGGCCTCACTCATGATCAAGGGGAGCGACACTGGCAGGTTGTAAAACCAATGGCTCAGCGTCCTCTGTGCCTCCTCTCTATCTGTGCGTAGTGACATGTAGCTTGTCAAACAGCAGCAGGAGAAAATAAACACATGTGGTGCCGTTACATGGCATTACATTCTGAAAGCAGTGCTAATCCACAACTTTTTTACTTCTGATTTACTGTTACTCTCAGGATCAGAGGAGCAGGCCGGTAAGAGCAAGGACAACTTTGATGCAACAAAAACTTAATTGGAACAAATATTTATGTGAACAATTGTCTTTTTTCATTGGCATAATCAGTCAACGTTTTTAATCTCACAACATATATTACATTAAAAAATCTTCACAATTACATAATTTTCATCAAAGGCCTGTCGGTTCAACAGTCCGAAATACATAGATATTCAATTTATTATTATTTTAAGACAACGAAAAGCTCATGTTTGAGAATTTGGATCCACTAAAAGTTTGATTTATTCGCCTTTAAAAATCAATAAAAAAATGTTCGATAATCAAAAGAGTTGCTGAATTATTTTCCATCAATTGACAGATTTTTGCATCTCTTCTGTAAAAAGCTAGAATGTGGGCATAAGAGTTGTAAATCAACCTCCATTCAAAGGTTAATTTTTCAAACTTGAAACCTAAAATCTTACATGTCCATCCTCCTGTATTCATTCTGCTCACTTCATGAATTTCAGTCTCAGTCTCTCTGCCAGTGGCAGTGGACTCTCAACACAAATAATGGAGTCATCACTGTCCAACACGACGGCCGGTGATCCCGGGGTCTGAGGAAACACACCACCATCAACGTGAGCTGGTGGGACATCTTGAGATTTGCTTTGAGTAGCTACAGGTCTGCTTTTGAAATCAATGTCTGCATTGCAGCTCTGAGCTTTTGGCTGTAAAGACTGAACAATGGTAGGAGCTGCTTTAGCTGTCGGTTTGGTTGTTTTAGGTTTCAGTGGGATGGCAGACAGGAAGTTGCCCTTCATCTTGTTCGTGTGCTTGCTGTAAGCTTTTCTTTGTGGTCCTGTCTGCTTGTTCTCTGCATCACTTTCCTCGCTGGATGAACACACACTCATGCACACACTCTTCTTAGTGCTGTGCAATGCGTTCCTGTCACTCTGAACGGGGTCAGAGTTGCACCTCTGTGGGGCGAGTGTGGATGATGAAATGGCTTTCCGGACAAATTTATATTTCTGAGGAGGCTTTTGGGGGCCGTTGTCCTTTGTCTTACTTTGTACTATAGGCGTCAACCGCGGTTTTGAACTGTGAGTTTCTGCCTTATTTGTTGCACTCTGCTTTTGTTCAGTGAGTGGTTCCTTTTTGTTTACAGCAGATTCTTTCCCTAACAATGCAATGCCACTGCTACCTTTATCGGGGATCTGTGCATTTTGTTTTGAGTGTGAGTTATGAGAAGACATTTTTTTGAGAGAGGCCAACTCATAGTTAAGCTGTTTTGAGATCTCATCACTGTGTTTCTCCTTCAGGTCCATAGCTCTTACTGTGTTCTTCATGAGCAGCCTGTCCCTCAAAGGACACTCTGTGAAGCACACCTCAGATCTGGAGTCTGCTCTTACGACGTCATTTGAGATTTTCAGCTCAATTTTTTCATCAATAACATCACTCTCTGTGGTTTCCCCCAGTTTGGGCTCAGTGGTGTGGTTAATAGTAGATTGTGGAGTTGGAGAAGACGTGAAAGACAAAGCCTCCCAGTCTATATCACTCAGGTGCAGCGCGTCGATAGCATCAGAGACGGATGGAGAAGCAGCAGCTTCACTTCCTGCATGAGACAGAGGAGTTTTGGGGCAATGGCCCAACCTGCTGTGCTCCTCTTTTGACTTCTGACGCTGTATATGCTTCACTGGAGTGTCCAAAACCACCACTTCTAGGTCATCTGGGTTTGAAGCGGGCAGCTTTTGTGGTTCGGTGTTGGAGGAAGTCTGGATGGTCATCTGAGCCAAGAGGTCAGAAATACCATCAGAAACATCAGATGGCTTCTCCTTTTTACTCTTTGTTTTTTTCTCTGCAGAAGAAGATTGAGACCAGATGTCAGTGTTATACGACCGAAGGATTTCAAATTGCATTAGAATGAGTTAGTGTCTACTGTGAACCAGGGTTATTATTATTATAAACGTAAACTGAAAATAAATCTAAAAAAGTTTATAGACTTGTAGAAATAACAAAAACATGATTTAAGTAATTTATAAGGTAACTTTTAACCAAGCTATTCAAAATCAGTTCTGATGTTAACCAACAATGTCAGGATGAAATTGTGGGTGAGTTTTTCTGTAAGTGGTCAAAATAACTGTGATAACTAGTGGTAAAATAACTCGGGTTCCAAATTAAAAAAATTAAAGAAATGATGGCT